GTCTTGACTTGTCTCTTTGTAGTATGTGATCATGCTCCCAAAGCAGGGACAGAACTACATAATTACTCTGTCAGCTTGGACCAGTCTCAGCATGTAGAGCTGCTTGTTTTGTGTCTCTTTGTGTTTGAAACTCTCCACACTCCGATGAGCCCGATGGGGTAATCCTGAGCGACCATGTCTTACTAAAGAGCTTTTGAAAGAATTTCCTGAATGCTCTGGTGCCAGTCAGAGAATACCAGTGTTTTAGTTTGTCACAGAGATTTCTTGACTTTTTTTAAAGCCAGTTCCTCTTCTTTCATGTGGTGTTTGTTACACCACACTGCTGTGTTCACACACTGAGGGAACATGTTGCATGTTTAGACTGCAAATACAGAGCAATAGCCTGTGTTTCCTTTTTATAAATCCATAAGATGCTGCCCTGGAAGTCAGCATATTGATTGTCTGGGCTAATGCATTCATCAGTAATGCTGTTTTTTCCCCCCCTCTCTCGTAAGTGAAATTCAGTCTGCCTCTCAGTCGCTTTACAGAATCCTAAGTGCACGCTGGCTCGAGTTCAGTACCCTCATACTGCGTCCTCAGCCCATTGTGCTGCCAGATTTCCAGTCGAAAAGATGTCAGTAAATCAGGTTTTTGTGCCTTTGCTGTTCTTCTATGCTAGACCTTGTACTCTAAAGCCGAAATGGCCCTCAGCTCCCCATGGCTGTCAGTCTGGGAGTGAATATGCTGTAAGTGTGTGTGCTGGTTTAGTGATAAGAGTGTGCTTCCAAATAACGACAAGCCAGCCTCTAACGTTTGGGTCAAGCACAGTTCAGGGACTTGTGTGGAAGCTTGGCGCTATGCCGTATTTGCACTGTAAGTAAAGAGCACAGTTTCCCCACTAGTGGCAGCTGAAGCCACAATCTAGCATAGTTGAACCATGGGATAGTAGATTCATGTGGGATTCCTGAGGCCTGATGTCCAAAGTTGGAAATTTTGGAGAGAAAGATTACATTCCAGCACAGTGATGTGAGATTTAGTGCTGCAGTGGGAATCCTCAGAGGGCTGGGTTTGTCTGTTGAGCGCAGATGTGCAGCTCTGAGAGTTTGAGGTCAGTTTACATGTATTATTCAGGGATTATAATGGTGACATTTTGTCGTTGACAGGTGGAAACCTTGCACTTCCAGTTTAGGTAGTTTCCTTGTGCAGCTTGAACATTTGGTTCTTTTGTATCATTCAAAAACCACCCAGGAATCATTTAAATGATTTATTTTAATGTGTTTAACAATTACATTTGAATATTTAGTTTCTTTAAAGTTAACAGTATGCACTTGTTCAACAAGAACCTCTGGCAGTGAGTAAAGAACTGTGGTGATTTCCACCCTGTGACTGAACACAGGGAGCATTTACCTTGCAAACATTAAGAGCACCACACCCAGATATTCTCAGTGTATACATTCAGGCCTCAGGGAACTGGGTTTCCTGTCTTCTGGTTGCCCTCTGGTGGATTCTCAGTGTTGTGCTTGTGTTTGTTTAGCTGTGATTTAGAAAGAAACATCTGATTATCCCTTAGGATCCCTAACCTGAGATGACATTCCTGAGATCAATGTTGTGTCCATGGCAAATAACTTGTTTTAAATTCCTCTACTGAAAACAAGCTGCAACAACAAATTGCTGAATATTACCTCTGATGATTTATTCTACTATTATTATTATTCTACTTTTACTCTATTTTTTTAATCACACATTCGCACTATGATGACTAAATGTTAAATGTCATAACATCTTTCTGTTGTGTGCCGTAACTCAAACATAATATTGCACTGCCCTCTGTTGGTGTGAAAATATTACTCCACTCACAGTCACCCTGTATTACATCCTCAGGTGTTTCGAAGCTCTGGTGGTCTACTTCAAGGCGGGTAAAAAGGAGGAGCCTTACGTCACCATCTCCAGGAAGATCAGTCTGAAGAAGGGACAGGGGACGCCCATGGAGTGGGAAATCGGCCAGTCAGAACGCACCCTGGCCACTCACAGAAACGCCTTCAAACGCACCGCAGTCATCCAGGCTTTTCTGGGCTCCACGCCTCAACTGACGCTGCAGCTGTACGCCAGCATCCAGGAGAAATACTTCCTCCCTGCAAGATGTAAGAATGACTGAGGGCTTTGTGCTACTGTTCCACTACTGTTCCACTACTGTTCCACTACTGTTCCACTGTGTGTGTCTTTAAAAGATCTGTACTTTACAGTGTTGCATCCTGGTTTTTGTTGTTGGCAAGGTTGAAATACCTCTGAAATGACCAAATTCTTTGGGGTTGGCAGCGATACTCAGACTATGACAAATCAATCAATCAGTCAATGTCCCTGCCAGTTTTAATGTATGTATATGCAGATTTTAAATAACCTCATATAACATTACTATGATATAGGTAATACTTTCTCTCCACAATTATTAAGGAGCCAGTGTGTAAGGAGATTTTTGAAGATATCAGATTTGTGGAAGAGCTTTGTCATAGCAGACAACAGAAACGCTAGTAAAAGTCAGTGGGTGCAGTGTGAAAGTCATTTACATTAGAACAAGACAGCAATGCTAGCTGCTCTGTAAGGCGGTACTTACAGATGCTAAATGCTAACTTCAGCATGCTGAAAATTTCACAAGCACAATCCTAATATGCTAATATTAAGCAGGTGGAATGTTTAGTTGTTAGCATCTTAGCTTGTTTTGCTAAGTAGCAATAAACCCAGTACAGCTGAGGCTGATGTAATAATTAGTGTTGCAGGTATTTACTTACAGTAAGTGAATACATTTGAATAGATTTCTGTCTAGAATTATGATCAGTTTATGTTGCTAATGATGAGACATTTTTGAAAGGTGCAGTGTTGTGGTGCTGTAGATGTTTATAAGGTGTAATAGATTACCCTCTGTTTGTTTTCACAGGGACTCTGATGATCATCACCCTGATCTCCATCATATACGGGGCTCTTGTGTGCAGCGTTCTGGCCATCCAGATCAGATATGACGACTACAAGGTGCGGTTGCGCCCTGCAGCCTACCTGTGCATGATTGTGTGGAGAGGGTTGGAGATTGCCACCCGGATCACTGCTCTGGTCCTCTTCAGCACAGCGCTCACACACTGGGTGATCCTTGTCGGCTTGGCTAACCTGCTCTTCTTCTTCTTCCTCCCCTGGGCTGAGTTCTGGGCCAAGAAAGGCTCGCTAACTAATGAAGTGGAGAAAAACTTCTCTAAGCTGGGCACCACGGTGGTGCTGAGCATGTTCACGTTGCTCTACGCCTGCATCAACATCTTCTGCTGGTCGGCGGTGCAGCTGGACCTCACCCATCGAGAGCTCATTGAGAGGAAGCAGCGCTGGGGCCGTCTGGCCATGTACTACTGCGGACGTTTTGTTGAGAACTTTGTCCTCATCACGCTCTGGTACTTCTTCAAGTCGGACTTCTACGAGTATGTGTGCGCGCCACTGCTGGCCGTTCAGCTGCTGATCTGCTACAGCCTGTCCGTGCTCTTCATGCTGCTCTTCTACCAGTTCTGCCACCCCTGCAGACGCCTCTTCAAATACAACGTCCACGACTGCCTGCACTGCATCTGCTGCCTTAAAGGACGGGGGGGAGCGAGAGGTGGGCGACGGAAGCCGGCGCCTTCATACTCCAATGCTGCCACCATGGTGCTGGTGCCAGAGGAGCCACTGGAGCTGCTGGACCCACAAAACTCCGAACCCCCCGACCTCACCAGTCAGCTGGGAGAGCGGGAGACGGCTATTGTTGAAGACATGATGGAAGCAGCCTGAGAGGGGCTTTGTGGGGAATTCAATTAACAAACTTAAGTTCTCTAATGTAGAAACACATCCCAGCTGGCGCTGCAGGCTGCACCGCTGGGTGAGACCTCGAGTCCTTTAACACAAAAAACTGAATGATTTTGTGTTTTTTGCGTTCGTGAGGTGATGTGTTAGAGAACAAACTTCTGCTGTTTTCTCTTAAGTGCACAAAACTTTATTCATTCATGGTTCTGAGAGGGATTTAGGTTAACTCCTGATGTCTTTATCAGGGATGATTACGTACACTTAGGGCACCACAAGGCCCCAGTATACCAAAGAATGTAGCATTTCGAGATATGCAGCGTCGCACAAAGGCCGTGTTGAGAGAGCAGCGGTGGGTCAATTACAGGACTGAGCCAGGTGTGCGGGGAAAGTGCCAAGTGTGTCCGAAGTGCCCCGAACGACTGAGCGGGAAAGCCCCCAGCCCCCCAGATTACTTCCTCTCAGGGTTCACACCATGAATATTCCCATTGCACACGTTTGCATCTGCACTTAACAGACATTTAAAAAAAAGAAAATTAAAAAGCAGGAGGGCAAGAAAAGGTCAGAAGAAGAATTTATCTTCCTCATGCCCAACTGCATAAACCTGTTGTGATGAATGCCTTGTGTTGTTCACTGTCCAGTCTGGTTGGCTCGATTACAAAAGAACATGTTTTAATTTGGCAAAAGAAACGTGTGAGAAGTTATTTCCCTTTAGGTGTGTCTTTAAAAATTAACACCACAGTTGATTCATTAACAATACTGACATCAAATTAGCTTATTCTTTATTGAGGTGCATTCACTGTTTGCTTGGGTTTTTTTTTTTTTTTTAAGTTTTGTCTTGTTTGTTCGTTCAGTGCCTTGACTACTACTGTTTTACTTGAATATTAAAATAAAATAATCAGTCTACACATTCATTTTTGCCTTTTTATTTGTTCTAAAGATCAAGCACGATTACTCACTCATTCTTATCACAAACACAATAAAACATGTATTCTTCCCATTAAACTGGTTGCATCACAGTTGAGGAGGCTATAAATTCCTGTATGGTGTAACCCACACTTCCTCATTCCGGGTAGATACCTGCTGATCCAGCTCGAGTTTCCAACAGGTAAGAATGTGGTCATTCGCCTCCAGGAAGGAAATCTTGCCTCTAAAAACTCCCACAACAACGCAATTTCACTGTGTCATCACCTGTACACCTGTGGAGGGTGGAGGGGGGAGGAGTCCGGACAGGAGGGTATAAAATAAAAAGTGCAGGCTGAAGATGCTGGGAATCTGCTGAGAGTCGAGATAAAGTGCTCAACATGGGCAACTGGATTATCAACCATGGACTTACATCCTTCATACTGGTGAGTCATTGGTTACACTTAGGGAATTGAATTATTTGAAACCGAAAAGATGACCGAAGGGAATAAGAGTGAGGATTTACGCACATCCTTGGTGCGCAAAAAAGGTGTCCTGGATCTTCAAGGCGAATAGACTAATTAGGATTTAAACATTTATAATTATGAAAAACAATTAACGAAATTAATTGTGTGATGGAAACATGATCCCGGCTGTGTTTGCAGGTGGTCTGGATGGGCATCAACATCTTCCTTTTCGTCTGGTTTTACTTCTTCTACGATTTGGGGGATCAGTTTTTCTACACGCGCCATCTTTTAGGGGTGAGCAAAGACAACAGAAGCTACGATTTTTGTTTTTTTATATAATTTTAATTACAGTCAGACTCACATAAATACTGGGATATTTCTTATTTCAGTCTGCCTTGGCCTGGGCCAGAGCTCCTGCAGCTGTCCTCAACTTCAACTGTCTGCTGATCCTCCTCCCGGTGTGCAGGAACCTGCTGTCTCTGCTCCGAGGCTCCTTCGTGGTAAGCTCTTGATGATGATTGTCACAGCAGGGCGAGGTCCCCTGAATACACTGCCATCGTTTTGTAAAGGTGAAGTATTTCCATGCATGTCATAAGGAAGCAAGTCTGACTGCTGTATATCCAGGAAACGTGGCCCTTATGTACTAATTGTATTACTGTTATTGAGTAGTTAATTAAGGTTAATTGTTGTTTAATTTAATGTTTGGGCTGCATCTCTGTGTTAAAGGTGCTTTAAAAAGTTATAATCTAATAATAATATAAAAATTGTAATCTAATATAATCCAGTCTAATATTCACCAAGGATTTTACAGTTATTATAATATTGTTTGGGGGGTGATATTGTGCTATTTCAGCTCATTAAACTGTTAAATCAAAGAGGAATATTAGTATCAACTGACAGAAAATCCAACCAAGAACTGGATAGTTGTGATATGTTTTACATAACAATACCCTGGCCCTCACCTCCCTTAATAGACACAAGACCGGTAGGCTTCAGTAATGGCTATGGAAAGATGTTTCTATGTCTTTTTTGACTTCTGTTCTGTCTTTATCTTTTCAGTGTTGCGGCAGAACAATGAGGAAACAATTGGACAAAAATCTGAGTTTCCACAAGCTGGTGGCATACATGATCGGCCTGATGACAGGTGAAAAGCGGCTCTCTCTTTTCAGTCTTTCTTCTTTGTTGGAAGATGAAAGTTAGTAGTAGTAGTTGTAGTTATAGTGATAGAAATAGCTTACGACATTTAAGTTTTGGTTAGAGTTAATGTGTGTGCACCTTATTTTACCAGTGTTATATAGATTTGGGGGACATTTAATTTTTCTCCTCAGTTTTCTTCAGAAAAGAAAGAGAGAAACGAGACATCGAACAAACGTATTCACAGTCAGACTTAAAGATATTGTATAGTCAGTTCCCTGACTACACAATATGCATTTTGTAAACAGTTTCAGTGCATTGTTTACTATTTTCCACATTGATCAAACTTGTCAGACCTGAAACAACAAGTGTTTATCAGATCATTTACTGACACAGGAGAGTAAAGAGTAAAAGGGCCTTCAGTCCTTCCTGATGGTGCAGGGAAACTAAAATGTGGACAAATGGAAAGAGTGTTTACTTCATACCGAAACAGATCTGTTCAGTCTTCTCTTTTCACACAGTGACACAGACTGTGATTGTCTCTTCCCACCGTACTTCCTCCTCACTACATACAGGTCAAAATGTTAAAAAGGGGTCATGGTTAAATTTTGGTGAGGGGAGTTTGAGGCAAACAAAGTCTAAAATAAATATTGACTGAAGGAGTAGGAAGTATTCACCTCAAGTGCTGCGATACAAATATTTTAAATCTAGGCTGTTTTTTTTAACCTAGTGGCTAAAATGCAGCAGTGGTAACGTGTCTCCTGTCTGTGTCCTGACAGCTGTTCACATGATTGCCCATTTGTTGAACGTGGAGTGGTACAACAACAGCAGACAGGGAATTTATGATAAACTCAGCACTGCTCTGTCCAACCTGGAGGACAGCGGAAACAACACCTACCTGAACCCAATCCGCAAAACAGACATCGTAAGTTATATTAACCAATCGTAATGAAAATACCATAATTAAATAAGACAAATGTGGAGATACAGAATGCCTTCAGATCTCCAGTTTTGCTTTTGTGTTTTTTCATGTTTTCATTGAAGTTGAAGGATCTTATGTTATCTACAAGTTGAGTAAACTTTTACTTTATGTCTGAAAAAGATTTTTAACTTGGCAACATCAGTGAAAACAAAAATCTCACTATATATATTTGAATTAAAGTAGAACGTCTACCGAAGTGGGATTACTTTAAGTAACTATTACTTGTACTTAGCTGCACGCTAACTTGATGTTCTGTGAGGCTTAACTAGGTACAGCAGTGTTTTGAGCTAAATGCTAACATGATCACAGTGACAATTGTAACATGTTGATATAAAGCAGGTATAATGTGTACCTTGCTCATCATTGTAGTCGGTACAAAGTAAAGCTGATGGTGATGGGAACGTCATTAGTTTTATTAACCAGTTGGATTGTTTGGAGACGTTGGGTCAGTCTGCCATGCTCTCAAATGGACCATTACCCTGACAGTACATACATGGTATGTGTAGCCCATTATTAGCAGTAAACTCACTGGTTTGTTTATTCATACTGCCATACTAGTGTTTTGCTATAGACCTTTTTCACAGCAGCCATTTAGACATGAAATAGTAGGGTAAACAGAGTCAGAGTGCTGCTATTGTTCATGTTGTGCTCACTGGAAAGGCTGTGCTACACTAAATGGATGTGAACCTTAATTAGTATCATAAGTAACACTTGTGTTTACCCTACTGTTTGATATCAGAATAGCTGCTGTGAAAGTGGTAAAAAAAAAAATGCTCTTATAAGTGGTATGACAGGTAGTACTACTCTGGTGCAACTTGAGAAGTTTACAAAACCAGATCTGTTGTCATTTTTCTTCAACCACTGCTGGCTCCAGATTTTATTCAGATAGACGTGTTGCAACTCTAAACATAACAATACAAGAAGTCTCCATTTCACTCACTCTCCATTGTGAAGTCAGCGGTTTGTTTGCATTTCTTTAATCAGTGTCATGAGCTTTAAAATCACAATGTCCGGCTAAACAGGAAAAACAAAGCAGAGAATTCACGTCCTCAACTCTATCTTCTCCATCATCCTCTTCCTGTTGTTCTTGTAAACAAAAAGCACACGTCTGCATTACCACTCTCCTCTTCTTCTTCTCGTCTCAGGATCCGCAGCAGATTCCAACCTACTTTGTCTTCACCACCATCGCTGGCCTCACAGGGGTCATCATCACTCTGGCCCTCATCCTCATCATCACCTCCTCCATGGAGGTCATTAGACGCAGCTACTTTGAAGTCTTCTGGTACACCCACCATCTCTTCGTCATCTTCTTCGCTGGTCTAGTCTTTCACGGAGCTGGGTAAGGGAAAGATTTCAGCTATATATGTAGTTTTAGTTTTTTATAGAACGTTGTTGTCATTGTTAACAGGTTTCACTTGTCTGTCTCACTTGTTCATCTGCAGGCGAATTGTGAGGAGTCAAACGAAAACAGATCCACCACACAACTTTACCCTATGTAAAGACCGCAGTGATGAGTGGGGACGGATTCCTGAGTGTCCCATCCCTCAGTTTGCAGGAGGGTTCCCACAGGTTCGTCTTTTTTCATTTCAAAACGCTCTAAAGCTGCACAAGTTGAGGCTTCCTTACAGTTCATCCTCTGTCTTTACAACTTTTACAACTTAAATACTACAAGCATAAATGATGTGTCATTTAGTTTCTGTATTTTTCCATCTTTTAGACCTGGATGTGGGTGATTGGACCAATGATTCTGTATCTTTGTGAACGTCTGCTGCGTTTCATTCGTTACATGCAGGCAGTCAGATACAGGAAGGTACGTTTGATTTATTTATTTATTCATTTATCTTTGCCCTCAGAGTTGTTCTGCAGGTTATGTGACTGAAGACTTGAGTCTGTTTGCTTTTCTTTCAGATCGTGATGCGGCCGTCCAAGGTGCTGGAGCTGCAGCTGGTGAAGAACGGTTTCAAAATGGAGGTGGGTCAGTACGTCTTCCTCAACTGCCCAGCCATCTCCCAGCTGGAGTGGCACCCGTTCACCATGACCTCCGCCCCCGAGGAGGACTTCTTCAGCATCCACATCCGCTCGGCCGGGGACTGGACCGACAAACTCATAGACATCGTGCAGCATCTACCGGAAGGAGCACAGGGACCCAAGTGAGCATTACTCTTTTCATTTTATCTAATTTCTTGCTGTTTCATAACACATTATCATCATGCTGCCTTATTATTTTATTAATATACGTACAAAAAGACATAAATCTAAACAAAACTATGTAATATATTTGAAATGTAGTCACAAAACAACATGACCCAGTCCACCATCTGTGTGGTTATTAAAAACCAAAACCAAACTTCTGGGTAATGATCAAGTCCCCCCGGCTGTTTCATGAAACCTTGTTTAATATACAGCTGCTCTTAATTAAGACACAGATTATTGGACCCAGCACAGATTTAATTTTGACTCAGCAGTATATACAGCATTCACAAAATGACAGTACAGCAAGTTGTTAGTGTTAATACCTCCTTCAAAATATAATTAAACCTAATTAAAACCAGTGTTACAAATCTGGACCGTATTAGGTTGAATGCCAGTGCACAAAGACAACCTCCAAAGCTTTTGATTGTATCACATCATTCTCATCAGCAGATGGAGTTCGCCTGGTTGTCATGGAATAGTATTGGAATGTTCGTATTTCCATTTTTTTCTGAGCACTTAAAGGTCTTCAATGTTGTCTTAAAAGCTGAGGTTCAATATGGTGCCCATGTGTCACCTTGTGTCTCATATATAAAGGCCAAGTCCTTACTGCAGTGGCCTGGGTTTGATTCCAACCTGCAGCCCCTTGCTGCACCCAAGCAAGGGGCTTGTATCTACTAGGCTACTAGTGGTATGATGTGGTATGTGGCACTGGTCCACACATACTTGTCCCTATAAAAATGAACATTAGATAAATAACTTTTTATTCTCAGCTGCTGTTTTCCCAGAATCAACTTTGAACCCCCAATTAGGAAACTAGGAGAACTTCAGTTTATTGATGCTCATCTAAATGTGAGCTTGTAAGACCCTTCTTTCATATGAGTGATTCCAAGCATTATAAGGCTGTGGTCCGTCATACTTGACATAAACTGGACATAGCTCAGCTGCTCTCCCTTCTGTCACCTCTCGTTAAACCTCTCCACTTTGAGGAGGATATAAGAAGTGCTTCACAAACATGAGTCCAGATGCCACTGTAGTGTGAATAAAGCGTGTCTACATAACCAACTTTTTATGTTTTGGTTGTTAGCTGTAGTTTGTCTGCAACAATAACACAATTGATTTATTGCTTTTCCTCAGAATGGGTGTGGACGGACCCTTTGGCACAGCCAGTGAGGACGTATTCGACTATGAGGTCAGCATGCTGGTCGGTGCCGGTATTGGAGTCACTCCCTTCGCCTCCATTCTCAAATCCATCTGGTACAAGTTCAAAGACTCCAACCCTAAACTGCGCACCAGAAAGGTAACAACTCAAACGCCCCCTCAGGCTGCTTCTGACATTTAAACCTGTCTATCTGTATTTCACCACTCAGACAGACTGCTGCACTTGATTGATGCGAGACAGGAGCTGTTATTGTCTTTTAAATAAAGACCTCTGTGTGGTTTAACAATACACCCATGGATGACAAGCAGCGTGGCCAGCTCTTTTGTAAGAGGATCATTGCTTAACATGCCTGCATCTGCTTCCTTGTTTCAGATATACTTCTATTGGCTCTGCCGTGAAACACACGCCTTCGAGTGGTTTGCCGACCTCCTGCAGGTGCTGGAGAAAGAGATGGAGGAGAGAGGCATGGCGGATTTCCTCACCTACAAACTCTATCTGACCAAATGGGATCAAAGCCATGTATGTGTGTCAATCAGACCTTTTATGTCACAGACTAAAGTCCAGATAAACTGCGTGAGGTCATTTCGACTTAAACTCAGCTGCGTTGTCTCTTTCATTCCGCCCATATTTTTCGTAACAGGCCACGCACGTGAGGGTTCACTCCGATGAGGACACAGACGTGGTCACTGGGCTCAAACAGAAAACCTACTATGGCAGACCCGCCTGGGACAAGGAGTTCGAACAAGTCCGCAAAGAGAACCCAACGTAAGATAAAATCCTCTTGCCGTACAAGTGGCATTAAGTGTTTTGGTCCAGACTGAAATATCTCTATTCAAAGGATTGGCATGAAATTTTATACAGACATTAATGGTCCCCTGAGAAAAAGACGAGACTTTCCTCCAGCGTCACCAGCAGGTTGACATTTGTGGTGTTGAGTGAAATGTCTCAACATTGGCGATAAATTTAGGTCAGACATTCATGTTCTGCTCAGATGAATTGTAATATCTTTGTTGATCTGAAAACGTTTTATCCATTTCCATTATCAGGTCGGTTTAGCTTTTGTCCAGTATTTATCTGCTAAACTAATGACGTTCTCATCAGCTTTGTGTGTTGTGCTAATTAGTAAATGTTAGGATGCTTTCACACTAAACTAAGATGGTGAACGTGGTGAACAAACAACACTTCCCATTAAAACACAGGAGATGTAGTAATAATAATATTAACACATTGAAACTTTAACTTTTTGAAATCTAACACCTCATCTTGTTTTTGTAAATGCCCTCAGGTCTGTGGTGGGAACCTTCTTATGCGGTCCTGAAGCTCTGGGAACAGTCTTGGAGAAGAAATGTGTCAAATACTCAGACGTGGATCCTCGGAAGACCAAATTTTACTTCAACAAGGAGAACTTCTGAGTAAAAACAACAGCAGCAGCATTTGGGCTTACTGAAGCACTAGTGGTGGGGAATCTCTTTCACCCTGGATTATTTTAGAACAATGTAATGATGACAAAGCTGCCTGACAACAAATGACACTACCCGTGTGTGTGTGTGTCTGTGTGTTGTGTGTGTTTTGGCACACTAGACTAAACTGCACACCTATAAAGAGGCAGGGCATGTTATTTTATCTGCACTACTCAGGGCCTGACTTATTTTCTTTACATATTTTCATCCATGATGAAACCTTCAATCATCAGTCTCATAATCCATTATGATCCTAGTCAATAAAACCTTTTTTAAAGCAGACATTGTGATATGAAATAGTAGGGTAAAACGGGTGTTACCATTGATACTGTTATTGTGCACGTTGACTCACTTGAGTCTTAATTAGTATCATTTGTTACACCTTCTGAAGCTTCTTCTCTGGCCTCGTTGTTACTGAGACTTGAACAAGATTATAAGGAAGTGTTTGACTGTTACAGAAGAAGTCAGGGCCTCGAGTGTTTCGTCTGTACACTTGATCGTTTATCATGTGAAAACTACCTTTAATACAGATTAACATTTGAATCAACACAGAACAAAATTGTAATGTCCTTCTACGTAATTAAGAAGTGACTAATACAGCCGCTCACTGCAACCAACGACTATTTCCATTACCCAATAATCCGCCAGTTGTTTTAAATTTTGTTTGTTGTTACATAAGAGAAAAGAAAAGAAGCATGTCATCATACAAGAGGCTGCAATCAGTTCATTTTGTTTATATCAAAGTAAGCCTATGATCAATTAAATTGTAAATAAGTGTCATTCTGTTCTTGAACTAATTGTTTTATAATCTAAAAGTGTGTTTGAAAATTAAAGTGTGAACAAATTATTGTAACTCTATCCTCTAAGCTTGATTAAGGAAACAGATTTCTTGGAACCAGACAATCGTTTATTATAACCGTCACCAGTATTTCCTTATCAGAGTGATAAGACACGTAAACCAGGAGGAAGACAACTGGTCACGTAGCCTCTGGTTAATCATCCTCTCAAGACATGGAAGGATTTATGGTTATTGAAATGACTTTAATTACTTCGCAATTTGTTGTGTTTCATCCACTTTCTTGTAAACAATTCCAGACTCCGTTTGAATAAATGAATAAAGGCAATCAATGTCTCTTTGTATTTTATTGACAAAACAACATCCAGACAAACATTTTCCAGAGCCAGTCACATGAAAACAGTCAGCTTTGAAGGAAAAGGATGAAACCTCATGAAACTCCAGCCCTGGACTTTATCTGTTCAGCATTCACCATCATCCTCTCAAAACTGTCACTTATCTTTTAATCCAAAAGCACTGAGCTTATCTTTCACACAGAAAACAGACAATATGATTAAAAAAAACTATACAATATTCCAAACTAATGAGACGTCTTCAGATCTGTTCAAGTTGAAGGAGACGGGGTGGAGCAGTTTGTGAGTCCTGAACAATGAAAGAAGACATAATCATGTGTCAGAAATAGAGTTGTTCCATGACGATGCAATCATTTCCTGCAGGGATGGAAACTAGTGATGTGAAGGAAATAAAGAAATTTCATCTTACCTAGTCGGACCATCAAGGTGCCCCTCCTGCAGTCTTCTGAATCTGTTCTTTGAGGATGAGAATGCTCTGCCGCTGCTCCGGGGGCAACATGGCGATCTGTTCTGGGGTCAGCTGCAGGACCTGCATGATCAGGGCAGCCTACAGGGGGACAAGTGTTACATTTAGTTGTCATACAGAAGGTTAAATGTGCTTTTCTGTATTTAAAGTGAAAAACAATGAGTACTTTCTTTGATGTGTTACTTAATGTTCACTCATATTCTTTGGTAACAAGGAAAAGAGAAAACATCACCAGCTATTGTTGAAGTCAAACAATTGCAATTTACACAAGCCCTGATTTTTGTCCTCAGGTCACACGTACTCAGAATGACTTGCAATCAGTGAATGCAAAAAACAGGATTTAGCATTTTGCTCAGAGGCACTTCAACAAGCAGCTGACACCCGTTGTATTTGTTAGATAATGTGCATGTCACGTCCCTCGTAGTAATCCTAAAATATTAAGATATTATTATAAAGCTCATTCAAAGTGGCTCTTCACAGTATCCAGTCAGTTATAATACCGGGGTAATCCATTAAGTGACACCCACCTTCTCCTGGTCCTGTGTGGAGACCTGGCTCTGCCCCGGACTGAAGCCTCCTCCCGACGGAGGAACACCAGAAATACCGGGACCCTGCAGGACAAACATGCTGTTAGGTCTCACTGTTTATCATAGGGGTTATTGATTACCCAATCCATCTTCCTTTTCTCAAGTCGCACAGTTTTACAATGTTTTTAAATGTAATGTGAAGTAAAGGTTATTTATTCTGTATTTATAACAGTATTTATTCAAATTCCTTGTGACGTATCAAATTTAGATTCTCATGTATTCTACAAAAACACAGGAAAAAGAAGTATTGAAAGTCATTTTAATAATATTAGCCTATGCATTTGGATTCTCAAGATCACAAATTTGCTCAAGAATCCCTCTCGCCAGGCTTCAATCTACGCCTTTGCAGCTGGTACAATGCTATCAGACCAATCTGCGCCCTTTAAGGAAGAACTAACTGGCAGCTTGTTTTTCAAGTATTTTGAAATAGGTTCTTAACAGCCAACAGAGACAAAGACGATAGATGCCGCCGTTACCGGTCTCGCAGGTGGAGGAGCGTTAGGACCCATGCTATGAGGAACGGGGCCTGGCATCCCTGCGGCCATGGGAACCCTCTGCCCCGTCACTGGACCACGAGCGTCCATCGCCCTTGGGTCGCGACCTGCAAACAAAACAAAACCACACTTAACATTCACACTTTGCTGAGTACTGACTGAATCACTGGAGGGTAAAGTTCTGTTCAAATATGAAGTGAAGTGAAATAAAGTTAATCATTAAATAAAACATTAACATTAAAATCCACAAATGAATAGAAGGTGTTTGTAGTCCTGTTGGCTTCTAGAAACATTGCCACATGGATGACCTTAGATTAAGGAGGTAATGAATATAATGAAGTTGAAATTGTATTAATCAAGTATAACCACATGAAAAAATAAAGTGTGCTTGTTATCGAACAACTGTTCTTATTCTCTAAAAACCTCTTGCTAGGACAAAAGACTTTTGTTTGGTTCAGTGGAATTTGGTTTGTTTGCCAGCTGGGACTGAAACTGAACTGAGATCTGTTACGCACAAAATGTTAACTATGTGCACACAATCGTAAATGTAAACTATAATAAGTTCAGGTTCTCAAACTACGGAGCATTATTAGAGCAGCTACCTCTGGTTTCCATCGGGGGTCCCCGTGGCTCCATCATCGGGGGCCCTCTGGGGTCACCCATCATGTTTCGTGGTTCACCCATAGGTGGGCCTCTCATGTCCATTGGAGGTCCTCTCATGTCCGGAGGGGGTCCACTTGCCATTTGGGCCATGTGTACAGGAGGGGCTTGGTGGGGTGGTGGAGCCCCCATGTAACCCCGACTAAATACACACAGACAAGCAATTAAATATCTATAGAATGAAACTGGCAAAATAACAGTTTTCAGTTATAAATCCTCAAGAGTTCTCAAAATGTTTGATCACATAGTAGTTTTCGATGTTAGTGGCGGAGTCTGCCACTAACACTGTCATCACACGCACAGGAAACGATGCATGCACGTGATCCAGTATTAATGTTTGTTACATTATCTCATTAGCTCCCTTTCCACAGCCTGTTCATGGCGGGAGTTGTTGCACTATTATTCCACCTCGCTGCTCTGTATAAAAGAGGACGAAAAGAGAATTGGGGGGAGTGGGCCTCTGAGCCGGCAGCGGAGGTAGTAACAGAGCTGACATACAGTATGTAAACGGGTGAGCCAGCAGGACGGGACATGTGTGCTGAAGAGAAAGAGCAGCAGCTAGTGACAGTGAATGCGAGGAGGAAAAGGAGAGCAGTGAAGTTAAGTAAGCAGCCAGTAAATGTACGTTTCAGTTTGTCAGTGAATAAAAGCTGCAGCTTTTCAAGACCAAAGTAAAAAGGTCTCTTGTGTCGTTTCCCCAACTGTTGGGATAGGGTCCGCCTACATTGAGCCTCTTTTGCTCCTGCAACGCCGGCATGCCATCTACAATCACACACTGGGGCGCCGTTGATCGCCACTGCTGGGGGATCATCAGTATAAAAAGGGCTGGTGATAAAAGCCCTTTCACTCTCCCAACGCTGCATCAGGGCTATATTGAGTCACTGCTGATGCAAAGGTAGCATTTCCTACGGCTGTGGCTTTACATTATTTGTTTAACTGGCAAAACATAGTGTGGCTTTTACTGCGAAGCAGTAACAGGAAACACCGCATGTGTTCATCAAAAACGCTTGTAGAAAACGGTGAATTTTAGCATTTTTTCACCAGCAGATCCCTTTTAATTTTTGCATGGGAGTGACGCTGTTAGATAAAGAGCTTAGAGTGACAGGATGCAGTTAACCAACTCCTTCACTGTGCCATGCTGTTGTGAGGAAAAACTAAATAAAAATCCGATAGCACCTAGACATTATTATTGACCGAGTTTGTTTGGCTGAGTTTCTCATTGGTTGTATTTCTCACAACCTACTCAACAAGTGTCAGTACAGTATTTAACAACACCTGTTGCTGCTGTGGTAACCATGGGTGCAGCCAGTAAGGAAATTTAAGGATTAAAACTTTAATGGCTTGAATTGACACTCCTTACCACTAAATACATGCAACCTGTCCTGTTTTATTATTAAGGTAAGGCAATATGGTGGAACGTCTTACTTGGGGTCTATGACGTCTCCAGTGACATTCAGCAGAGTTCCTCCTCTGGGATCATTGGGACCATCTCCCAGCAGGCCTCTGGGGGGGATACCACCTGGTCCTGAGAGGAGAAAAATCACACATTCAACCACCTTGAAATTATATCCTACACCATTATTCTTAATTTTCTATTCATTGACCAGGAAATGTTTCATGACTAATCCACTAAATGTAGGCTGTAACTCTAAATAGGGAAGAAATTCCAGGTAAGGGAAACCACACGACACACACAGACACACACAGACACACACCCCCCCCATAAAGATAGGTGTGTTGGCTCAGAATAGATATCTCAGGAAACAACCAATGCTGTTTGGGGTTTATAAAGCACACAATAAAAGTACACACTGACAATATCAAGCTGCCACAGTCTGATTTCACAACACACAGGGAAATACTAATAGTGTGATCAGGAAGAATAAACATTGCAGTCTACCATCAACATTAAGAGAGATTACAGGTTTAAAAACACATAAAAACCATCTATTCAAACACAGATACAGAAGGCCTGACTTGAGAATATTTTCCTACTTGCATCTTGTAACTCTGGTGTTATTTGGCCATGAGAACATGACGACGGGAGGCATGCAGAGAAAAGATGAAGTGCAGTGGGTGTGTCAGTGTTATGTTAACTGCATGTCTAATGGCATACATACCGCAGATGACTACCTACAGTAGAGTGATACTAGCCAGAGTAAATAGGGCACAGTATCTGAATAAAGCTCAACATGGCAGGCTTGGATATGTACAAACAGTGGCTGGAACACATCTGACGAACAAATCTGTCGCTCCAGCTATTAAATAATTAGTGAAAATGCTTCATCATGTAATGGGCTGAATGTGACAGCTTTCATGCACAAGAAGGCTCATTGTTTGATTGCTTCATGCTATATTACAGTTAAATGACAACGAATGGACACTCCCTGATGTAGCTTCACTTTAATTAAAATTAACGTAGTTTAAATGTGGCTCATATAACATGTCAGCAAGATGTAACGTTTATTTAAAATTAGGGAAATATTAACTCAAAATTAAAAACAAAAGCCTGTTTGTTGGTCCATTGGATTTGATTTTGATTTCAGACTTAACAGATTTAAGGTAAAGGTAGGGGCTGTGATAAAAAAAAAATTCAACATTAAATGTCACTTACTATGGATTTTTTTGTTTGTTTTTGTTTTTGTTATTTTTGTTATACTGAGAACAGCTGACTGGGAGGAGAGCCCAGAGCTGGTAAAATAAATAAATAAATAAAAAACAAGCAGCAGCTATAAGAAACTGATGGACTGCTGTTAGTCCTGCTGTCAGTGGAACTACAGTGTGGAGAAAAGGCAGGAAATTGGACAGATTTTTGACCACTGATGCTGACAAACACAAACATGGGCATAGCAAAAGCCAAGAAGCTGGATTTTCCTTGGAAGTAACATGCAGCTTTAAAGCAAACTCAGCGATTTCATGCCATTATGCAGTAAACATAAAGCCATGGAGCCCCTTTGCTTCTACTGGCGGGAACGACCTCTCACATGCTGTACAGTCGAACTGCTGACAGCTGCAACTCATGACATTAAGAGTGATAAAGCTGAGACAGAATAACAGACTTCATATTGTCAAATATGAGAAACTCTTTACAATCAAAATCTGCTTGTTGAAATTAAAACCATCCCAGGTCTGAACCAAATGCCTTCATGTGAATTTCTACCGATTCATTGGGAGGTTTGTGAAAGCTACATTTTCTTAAATAGTACATCTCATTTTAATTAGTTGCTTAACAAAAGGCTCAGTTCAATTTTGCAATGTGCAGAAAGCCATGATGTCTGAAAGCACAAAAAGGTATTGAGAAGAATGTGACACCCGTGGCTATCTTAAGCCTTTTGGGGGGAAAACGTGCCTCCACATTCAACATCTACAACATGTGGCCTCAACATCCTCAGTATGTTACATCTTGAATGATAAGAGATCTCCTGTGGTCCGCATCCATCAGTCTGGATCAATAAGAGCTCAAGTCTCTTCCAAACCTTCCCAAACTACAAACAGCAAAGTAACCAGTCGAAGTAATTTAATAGTGACAGGGAGGATTTCATGCAATTTGTCTTCTATCAAAAGAAATGAGTCCATGCAGGATGTCAAAGTTTGTGTTTTACTAAAGGGTCAGGCTGAGACATCCCCCCACGCACCATAAACTAGACAACCAGAGTGGACAAACTGGTGTGCTGAGCTGATGAGGCCTGTAAAGCATTTTTTTACCTTCACAGCTTCTCAACGCACATACCAACTAGCAGAGTGCCAGAGGCAGAAAGCCTGCATTGTCTGCACAAACTGGCCTTAAATGTATTTGTATTACTTCAATTAGAGTTGACCAACATATTTATCCAGATGTGACTGGTGTGTATGTATTCTACATCCTTCCACAAAAAGGAAAAATGTTCTGACAACAAAAGAATTACACAATAATTCCCATGTATCACTGCTTTATATTCTGTCAATATTTCTACATTTATTTTTATTATTTCAGCATCATCGTTGGATACAAATTGTCCTGCATATGCAGCTTATTGCAGAGTAGCTGCTGATCCAATCCTGATCCTTTTATATTCTTTATGTGCATTTTTAGCATTTTAAAGCAGTTGTTTCTGCATTTGATGGCTCTCCTACACATATTTAATAACACTATTGTTTTATTTTCTTTTTTTGGCATTTTATTTAAATTTGTACAGTATATTGTGCATTGACTCTGTTGTAGATGTTCAACTGAGCTGAATCAGTTTAACTTTATGTTAAACTGAAGGTCATGTAGCTTACTGTAGTATCCACAAAAAAATATGTTGGCTTTTTGAGTCACATTAACACTTTTATTCCAGGCAGCTGCCCAAACCTGTATCTGTTGACATGAAGTGTCACCACTTTCCTCCACATGGCACATCCTGCTTTAGTTATGATAATGCTCGGAGATCATAATCTTTATACAAACAGGCTATGTGACTACTGTACTGTACTGAACGTGTGGAGACACAATGGTTCGTATTTGATTTGACATGCAGTGTAACGAACTGTAGAGCTAAGACTAAATCCCAGAAGTGCTGTATATTTGGTCAGTGGCCTCTCCATAACAGTCCTATGATCTGACTGGAGAACTGAAGGAGTACAGTGATACCTTGAGGCCGCTCGATAGCAGCTTGCCCAGACGATCCTGTGGGAGAATGCTGAAGGTTTCCTGAGCCAGCATTAAAGTAAAGAAGAACAGGAGACACAAGACTCAAGAGAGCAAAGCAGCACTTTAAGAGCATTTAAAAGTATGCTCATGACATTATTGTATGCACACACAGACACAGAGGGGTGAAAAGGGACATTTAGAAACTTAAAAATAGTAAAATGTGTAACATGAAGGCTCAACAGACAGAGAACATAGATTTTAGGAAAAAACCTCAAGAGTCAAGTTGATTATGCCCTGCTGCTCATAAAGCACATCAACTAATTACAAGGCTCTGGTGACACCTAGTGTTCCCAGTGAGCCATGACAGGTGTAGAGCTTTGACATAAAATGAGGTACAGGCATTCATTCTGGTTAGAAAATATATTTTCTTTGTATTTTACCTGAGTCGCAGGTCATTGTGGCGCTGTAGGTATGATTGTGGCTACACATGTAACTGATAAAATAACTTGAACAATAGCTTAAGCCATTGCATTACATTGTACTAATAAAGCCACATGACTGTAGCTTTGTTTCAACTGTTTTTAAGTTTGGCCAAATCTGTTATGGTTATCTGCTAAAATAAAATGTGCGTAGGAAACAGTGCAAAACTAGGGTTGAACACAGACATATTGGTCTGGTAGCTGGAGTGTGGCACCTGAATAATAATTAGTACATACATTAATAATAACGACATTCAAGTATAATATATATGTCTATAATCCTTAAAAACTGTGCACATTTTATTAGTAAACCAGGGAGCGGCTGTGACACATTCAATAATATGCCAGAAACAACTGCAGTAAGCCTACAGAAGATTATAGTTCCAGGTGTTGGCTGACTGAAGAGTGAAATAAAGATCTGGTAAGCGATCAGTTTGGGGCTCATCGTGCACGAGGAACGGGTGTAATGAAACAGTCACACCTCACACATTAAGAATCAATCGCCGTAGTAATCGATATTTGGACATAACATAAGGGTGATGCGACCACAACCGGTTCAGTTGTTGATGCGAGTATGTATGCAGTTTGATGATTACCTGGAGGTCCCACTGGTACGGGTCCTGGTCCCGGTCCAGGTCCTGGGCCAGGTCCTGCGACAGGCATTGGTCCAGGGACGACACCCAAGTTGGGGGGCTGCATCATTTGAGGGGCTCCATTGACATGCATTCCAGGCTGATTATATGAAGAAAAAAAAATAAGAAAACATAAATAATTTAACCTAAACCTTAGTCTTATTTTTACAGAATATAACAATTCTGAGCCTTAACCTTATAAAACCAGCTTAAATAACCAGCTATCCTGTCTGTCATCAGATGGCATAAGATGGACAGAACCTTTTACCAACGTTGGTTGAGTTGTAACCTTTCACTTACTCATATCCACGGTTACATTTCATTAAGTCATGATCAGGGAAACGTAGATTAAAGAGAGGAGACAGACTGTGCATGATGGGATATGAACCAGTTTCACAATATTTTGTTCCTACACTGAATGTACGATACAAACATGTGTAAAGTACGGTCACATTACACTTCTGTCCACAGAATATTCGCTCCATCTCCCATTCACTTATACTGGAGCCTGCAAAACAAACTAATTAAAGCTCATGTTTCCGGTTTCAGTGAGTAGCATTTCTTTCAAAAGCGGCTCTCATCAATATTTATTTATTACCCGCATCAGAGTGGTGACATTGTCCTTTTCCAGAGTGGAGTGGGGGACTATTTTGTTCAACAGAAGTATAATGTGTCCATTACTTTAGAGAGTAAAAGGCCGTTCTACTTACCACAGGCTGCGGCTGAGACACTGGCACACTGGGCTGCGCAGGAGGAGGGTTGACCGGCGGCGCTCCTCCACCCTGCCCGCTGGGAATCAGAGGTGGGACTGAAGTTTGACGATGGAGCATTTTCTGTGTACGGAAAAAGCATCTCTCAAAAACTTGTACTGCTTCCAACGTGCAGGCTAGCTTACAGCTCCTTTGACTAATGACAAGGTCACAGTGAGCTGCGCTTATTATTTTTGATCTTGCCTTAAATAAAAGATAAGATATGGTAAGATCTGACTAATCTCTTCCTTCTGAATCAGCATCTCTCACCAAGGCTATCTCAGGGTCGACAATCCGCATGACCACTTGGGCCTGCAGCAGAGCATAGGCCAGCTGAGGGTTCTGCAGCAGCATGTTCCTCGCCTCCTGGGGACTGTTCTGCACACACAGCTGGAGAAAGACATCAGAAACATGATATTATAGACTGCATGAAAAAGAAGCTTTGTGTGCTTTTACTTCCCGACAGGTTAGACATGCCCTTGTAATTTATGCTACCCACTTATGATTCAGATACATGTCCATACCCAACAAAAGTGGCTGCATCAACACAAAAACATTAAACAAAGAGACGTGTGACGATATCTGTGGTATCAGGATCAGAGACCAAACACTCGACACTCTGATCAGCACATGGAGCTGTCCTACTGACACAAGCTTTGGTGCAACAAAACACTTCTCCAGTCGGGGGAAAATGTCTGCAGTGTGGTGTTTCTTTGAGCTTAATGAAGCAGACTGCCAGATGTGCAAAGATAAGGCTTCTCTGGCAGAGCTGAGAGAGACAGACTGTAGAGCCCAGTCTCTGTTAATGAAAGGGAAGGAAGAGCATCTGCATACACTTGTCATCCTGGAGGTGATTCAAGTTGAGAGCAACATTTGTCACCATCTTTTTTGGAGACTAAAGAGAGTAAAGAGAGTAAGCAGCATTAAACATACAGACTGAGAACATGGCTTCTGGGGTAAACCGTTATTCTATTAGACTCCTTATTAAATACCTTTACCTTATGTTAGTTTCTTTAATTTGGTACTTTGTAATATTTAAAAACCTCCAGAACAGTCAGTATGTTAAATCACCTTTTGGTTTTAAACCTTGACAGAAAGACCTTCTTTTATTATGGCTGCCCTTAAGACCAGTAGCAGAAGCCAACTCGCATTAAAATGGTGAAATTCTGTGATTTGTGCCAGAGACACTATATCTTTTGCCCTATTTTGGGGAGAATATACTTTTACACAATGAGCTAAGCATAAATTCACCAGAATAATACATAAATGTCATTGATGCACCAGTTCCAGAGATGAATTCATAACACTCAAGATTAGGCATCATAACTGCCCATTAACCCTTTCAGTCCAAAAAACTGTACCCCTTACATTAATAAGCCTGTGTGAAGTCTCGCACTATATTCAAATATGGACATTGTGCACATTTTCTTTCTCAGAATAAACAGGACTATTTGAAAATCAAGCAGAAATTTGATGTGCAAAATGGCATTAAAGATTAATGATGGATTACAGCTACACACACGTAGAATTTAGTAGTTTATTTAATTTAGAATTTAGGCAAGCCTAGGAAAAAAGTAACAAAATGTAATTTATTATTGCTCTGAAGTGCTCATTACAGAAATGTAATCCAATTAATCGCTGACACCTGTGGGGTTTTTGGTGACAGGAATTACGGGCTTACAACAGCCTCATAACCAATGAATAACTTTTAAGTACATATGTATTTACTAAAATAAAGATTGTCAAGTAAACTTTTACTCAAGTTTTATTCAAATCAAACCATGTCACTAATCTTTCTAAATTTATAGGGGTCAAGGGTCAACTACTGGAATCTCAATTATTTACAAAAAGCACCATAAAATATAAAATACAGAGGCATCTATTGAGTGAGCTCTCTGCAGCATCTACAAGCAGGCATGATAGCTCATTTTGCTTATAAGGAGCATTAATATGTATGGATATAGTTTGTTTCTATACCACATTTGAATAATGAATGAATGCTGGTGATAGAGTAAGTGTTAAAATGTCTATACAGGATGGAAAGGAGACCTGTAACACACTTGGTAATCTGAATGTCACAAAAGAAGGACCTGAAATACCTGCAGCCGGTAAAAAACTGAGGCCGTATACCAGCCTACCTTCATCTGTTTCATGAGTTCAAACATCTGCTCTGGTGGCAGACTGGCCACAGCTCTGCTGATGGACTCTGGGGCTTCCTGTGGCTGGATGCTGTCTCCATAAGGAGACTCAATAATCGGGGCTCCTGTTCCCAAACCTGTGCAAGACAGAAATAGCAGAGAATAGTAGCTTTGCCAAAAGCATCTCTCAATCAAATCAACTTAAATACAGCACATGAGATGTAATGCCAAGAGCAAACAAACACTTACTTTTGAGCTCTTCCTTGTTTTTCTCACTGGCTGCATTGTCCACACGGAGAGCCCGACCACTGAACTCTCTCCCGTTCAGGTTCCTCATGGCACTGAGGGCCGTCTCCTGATCTTGATATTCACAGAAGCCATATCCCTTTGGCTTCCCTGTCTCCCTGTCATACACTAACCTGAAAACAATGAGACACATGTGATCATCACGTCCCATAATCCACCTGTCTACTGACTGAAATCATCTTCAACGTGAACACAGTAACAGTAACATAAACAAACCATACGGGTGTAGTAGCTCAGACTGGATGTAGGAGGGTCAGGAGCTATAACACTAGTTTATTTAAACTCAACAAGCACAGACAACCTCTTCCACTCACCTGAAGCTGACAACAAGTCCCACTTCAGAAAAGATGTCTTTCAGCTGTTCCTCTGTGGCTTCATACGGAATATTCCCCACTAAAACAATGACGACATATAAGAAACATTAGTACGACAATAATAAGAAATTCACTTTTCATTTAAGCTAGCGTTTGTTACCTCGTTGGTTAGCTAACAGTAACAGTAGCCGGCTATCTATGTGAGCACGCTTTAATTGATTAGCCGCTAGTTTATCGACTCATCGCGCACCTGATGGATCGAACCGCAATACGACGGCAACAGAACTCACCAAACACCGACCGTAGAGAGCGATCGACGGCCGGGTCTCTGTTCGCGGCGGCGGCGGCGGCGGCAGCAGCGGCCGCAGCAGCAGCTACGTTCGCCATTTTGGGGACACAAAAGAATGCGACACCAGGAAGTTAGAATGAGAGAACATCCGTTAGTGGGGAGGGAAACAAAGGCGACATTTAAATACCAACATATTTTCTAACCTCTTAACAGTTTACACCGTCCGCTAAATTACGGGTTTTTTTCTTCTCTTAAATAATTAACTAGCAATGAATAATAATGGTTTGAAGGCGGGTGTCGCTGAGGGGTCAGAGGGGTCCGCAGACGTCGGTAGGGAGAATAGATGGCGCTGTTGTCCGCGGGTCGGTCAGTTAGCGTCAACCGTCTGAACCTCCTTCCAGCACTAAAGTATCTTCATCATATTTAATAAATCCTCCATTTAAAAGTAAAAGTGAGCCACTTAGAGGCGCCCGGTGTGCTCCCGGAGATCATATTTTTCCACAACAAGTGATTTGGTGAGTAGTTAATTGGGGATTAGAAAGCTTTGCTAATAAGACATTTAAAACATGAGTTAGCTATAATTCGTCTTTAACTTGCTTATTAGCAACTGTGAGACCAGACTTATAAATGAGGTTATACACTGGCTGGTACTGTCTGTCTGAATGTGTCTAATATGTAGTGAACCTGTAGTAAAGTATAAAGTCTGCTGGCTGCTGCACCTGGATGCTCACACACACACACACACACACACACACACACACACACACACACACCTGGTAATTATAATGAACGTTACATAGCTAATTGATACATTTAGAGTACACTTTATGCAATCAATATTATGGATACATTGATGATTTTGCAAAATTATTTTTAAAAAAAGCTGTTCTCACTATTAGTTTGTCCTCTGCCTCAACATAAACACTGTTTTTGTTTCATCCACACCTTTAATATAAAGACACATATCCTTGAGTTAAAGGTCCAGTGTGTAACATTTAGGAGGATCTATTGGCAGAAGTGTAATATGATATTCATAGGTATGTTTTCATTAGTGTATAATCACCTGACAATAAGGAATTACCTTAGAATGAGTCGTTTTTAATCTACAGATGCTGCAGGTCGCCTTCTGGAGAGTCCGCCATGTTGAACCACCATGTTTCTACAGTGGCCCAGAAGGAGCAAACCAAACACTAGGTAGAGGCCGTTTGTGTTTGGAAGGAGAGGGAGAAGCAAGGTAGTTTGAATCTGCAACACCGCTATACGCCACTAAATCCTACACACTGGACCTTTAAAGTCATCAGGTCAGTATTTCGCACACAGAAGAAATGATCGAGGTGCAACCCACAGAACAGTGACAGCTGAGGTGACAGGCTCTTCTTGCTCCTCTTCCTCACCACAACATTAATCTATAAAGGGCCCATGTGGGTTGGACTTTTTGTGGTTTGCTCATATTTTTAAATTAAAGATGTTGTACGCGATTCTGGAGAAATCCGGTACCGAGATCAATACGATGATACAGCACAAATAAGTTGTACGTTTGCAAACTGTCACTGAAGTAGTTGCTGCGCAGCGAACACGCAGAGAGGACAAGACGCTTTCCCACAGCCAGCACACAGAGTCTCCTGCTACTATAGCTAACAATCACAACAACAGCATATCTTGACAAGCTAGAAAGTGAACTGAATTTCCGTGGGCAAGTAATGTAACGTTACCTAACACACAAATCCTGGCTGGAATAACAAGTTCGTGTTGTCCGTCTCAGTCCAATCCACTTGGTTTGTTTCCCATTTACAGAGCCAGGGCTGTGTACAAACACCAGATTCTAGTTTCAGCGCACACAGAGAGAGGAAAGCTAGCGGACCGTGAGGAGATAGTCACTGAATTTGAGAAAAGTGTCTTGGATTAGAATCACTTACCCCACCTTTAAAGAGAGGCATCTTTAAAATATAAATGTGAGTATTAAAACAGCAGACAAATTAATTGTTAGATATGTATATTTATTTTTGATTTGGATGATATTTTTTGTAATTATATTTTGATATTTAATTTTACCAATTGTTTCACAAATAACATCATTTAAGTCTAATATTACAGTGGCATATCTAGCCTACATAAACACGTAACTTGTCTATCTCTATATCATAAACTGCTTTCTGTAGCTGTGTCAGTATATCACTTAACAATGTAATATCAGTATTTACTAAAAGCTAATTTGGTATCTTTTTTTTTCACCTTTTCCTGCTTTGTGTCATGGTTTTGTTCACTAGCTCTATGTGTGAGGTGTTGCACCATGCCACATAATTATCTTTACCGTAACTACTGTAGCTTTCATCTTATTTTTCATAATTCACCAACTGACTTTATTTTAAATGTTTTAACGAGCCCATTCGTTTTTAATGTAAACTGTAGACACACCGGTCAGATGGAAACAGCAAGATTTCACCGTAATGTTTGTGCAATTTTGATGTATTCAATGTATTGATTTATTTTTTCAATTAATTAATTAATAATTTGGTCTATAAAATGTCAGAAAACTGAAAAATGGCCTCCATAATTCACAACTAGCCAAGGAGATTAAATCTCTTGTTTTATTCAACCCAAAGATTTTCAGCATTCAATCATATGACAATAAAAGTAGTAAACCCAAACATTTGAGTAGGGACCAGTGAATGTTTGAATGTTTTAAATCTCATCTCAAAACCTTTTTAATCTCCAAGGGTTTTTATTGTTGCTACATTGTCCTGATTTGTTCTTATTTGTGACATTTTGGAAGTCACTTTGTGACCCTGCTTTTGAAAAGTGCTGCATAAATAATACACCTATACAATTTACTGCCATCCAATACAACGTATGTAGCTGTAGTACTGGACTGCATTGTATTAAAATGTGTCATATGTAATATTCATACTCATGTTTGTCAATTGAAAAACATTAGACACACTTCACGTTAATATAATGTATAATGCACAGCAAACTACAGCCTCAATGATAAACATAGTTAAATCACTACCTCTCTGAGTGACTCACAACAGGACATTATTATCTTTGTACAGGAAGAAGTTAAGGCTGTGCCATGTGTTCATTTATCAATGCTGTTCAGTTGATGTTGATCCAGTTGTTTTGAAGTTTTATGAGTGGATGATTGATCATGAAGTGGAAGAAGTGTTTCCAGGACAGAAAATAAATCCTGGTTCCACTGGGGCTCGAACCCAGGACCTTCTGCGTGTAAAGCAGACGTGATAACCGCTACACTATGGAACCAGCTGATTTCAGATCTACGCAGACACGATTAAGATATATCATTATGATGGCGATTATGAGGTTTAATACAGTTTAAAAGGAAAAATGTGATAAAACAGTAACAATATGGACAGTCCGCCGACAGTCGTTGAACCTCTCTGTAACATTAACTCGAGCTCTCGTAGCTGCAAGCTGCGGTTTAACGAAACGAGATATCGGTCAGCGTCAGTCTCCCCAGTAGGTCACCTCGCATGGATACTAACGTAGCGTTGCGGGTGTTTTGGTTCAGTTACGAGTCGATCCCTCCTGGGACGTCTTGCTTTTTGTGGCCGATCACACGGTTGCAGACATCCAGCACACTGAGCTGCCAGCTATGAACCGGACTAATCACGTCCTTCCAGCCTGCATGCATCAGAGCTCAGAGCTAACACACTGAGGAGTAACCATTGCATGTTTAATAAGCTCACTTATACAAGTTCATTTTAAAATGTGTGCTTTTAATAATAAAAACGTGTGTATGTGTTTCCACAATAGAGGACACTGTGATGCACCTTACCTGCTTAGCTCACCTGCTGTAAATATGACAGCACTCATACAAAGACAGAGCTGTGATGAAGTTAAAACTGACAGTGAGGCATCACGTGTTGTTGACTATAGTTGGGAGGGAGACATTAATGTACACAAGTACCATACATTGACATTTACTTACAGTGCTCAACAAACAAACAGGGACACTGCAGGTGTCAACCAAAGTGTTGCGTTTAATATTTTGCAGCTGACAAACAGCCCACATTAGAGGTTTAAACATTACACACCAAGGGTTGTGTGTGACAGTAACAACATGACTATGAAAGTAGAGTTTCTTTAACTCATTTCTTAAAGGTGATCAACAGTCGCAAGGTCTTTTACCACAGGCAACAGTTTTCTGACCTGCATGTAGTTCACCAGCCATCTCATTATTAAGGCAAGCTTATAGGATATAAACTGGAAAGTCAGTGTGTTTGACCTATTGAGCTCCATCTCCTCTCCTCATACAGATTTTTGTTTTCCGACGGCTGTGCATCTGTGATGCTATCAGTTATATCTGCGAGTGTTTCTGCCGTGGTCTCTGCATCAAATGCAAATATCTGTTTAGAGTTCAAAACTGACTTTCTAAGCAGTCACAATTCTCCTGCTAACTTCTGCTCTGTGATATTTAGCATCTGTGTCTGTGTGTGTGTGTGTGTGTGTCCCTCTTTCACTAAAGTGTGTTAGTGTTTGAGGAACCTTAAAGTGAAAGCATCAATCAAACAACTTCCCAGATTAAATTTAAACTCTCTCTAAATGTCCGTCTCCATAGTTTACTGCCGTGGGGTCTGAAATCAGCGACACCCCATTCTGTCGCACAACTTTTTACACCTTCACGTCGTTCCTCTCCTCCCTCTCTTGAAATCGTCTGCCCTCAGTAGCGTCCTTCCATTTTTAGCCATTTTGACTGAAGCTCTCCAGCTTCCTTAGGTGCCAGAGAGGGAAGGGCAGAAAGGCTGCATTGGAAAATGTGGGGATGACAGCTGCATCTGTTTATCATGTGGGGTACAATAGCACACCTTGAGAGGCAGCCAGAGCTTGTATTCTCACTGATCCTGGCTCCAACCACAGCAGGCCAGAATTAATAGACGAGGCAGATTCATATGTGGGCAGGATCAAAATTCAAGACATGCTAGATCTATTCCACAAGCTCTGAATTTGACTGACATGCAATATGTGCATGTGATAGTAGAAATCAATAAGAATGATTTACTGGTGTCCAATGTCACATTTGAAATGTCAAATGGATGTTTGAATCAAAAGCAGAAATGAAACATCAATGTCATTTTCATTGGCAATTAATTCTTTTTTTTTTTTTTGCTGTCTTGATCAATCTGGTCTATGTGAAATAGTGAAATATGGCCATCCTAATTCCCCAAAATGTCCAAAATGATGTCTTCAAATAGCTTATTATGTCCGACAGACCAAACCTAAAGATATTTACAACAATATAAAACAGAAAAGTATCAAATACACACATTTGATGAGCTACGACCAGAGAATATTTATCATTTCAGCTTCATCAATGACTTAAAGGATTCATCGATTATAAAAATCGTTGCTGTCTGATTTTCTGTCAGTTAACTAACTTAATAATTGTTTAAGCTCTAAGTCCATTGAAGCAGTTTCTAAATAGTTAATATTAGTATTTTTGGTGTTTCAGTATCTGTATGGAGGGTAAAATATGTTGTGTGAGTGTGGATTGATCTGCCTTCAAGGCACCCTTTGGGATTTTCTTTCAAACAAAGTTATGTTTACAATCAGTGTGATTTCTTAACAAAAACATATTGTGTGTGTGCGTCGTTGAGGTCGAACATTTTGCTTGCCGTCATCTTGCCTTTGTTAGCTCATTGCTAAGTTTGCTGGCACGTTGGCCGGCTGTAAATCAGTGGAAGAGTGTGAAACCGACCTGGATGTTAAAGGCTCCCCGTGGAGGTTTTGAGTGGGTCCCCCATTTTGTTTGTCTCGTGCACAAAAGCAAACGTGGAAACAGAAGGTCACGCGCATTTAAATATCTGTCCTTTGGAGATTACAGGCGTAGACAAGCACAGTGAATTTAGATCTGACCTGAAACTGAAAAGATTGTATTCATTTTCCAGCAGTAAAAGCCTAATGTGTTTGAATTAATCCTGATTCTGAATAATCCGAGCTTCAGTCAGGAGGCAAGAGATTCTGTGTCCCCACTTCTGATGGTAACCTGGCTTGTTTGGTGCAGACTCTCTACAATAAGTCATTGGGACTAATTTAGTGCTACAGTGGGATTTTCAACTGTGCCGTGCATTCCCAGGTTAAATTTGCTGCTACACTGCCTGTGTCTATTTTGATGATCCTCTTCCTGCACACCCTTGTGATTCCAGTAACTCTGTAGTCCTGCAGAGAGACTCATCCTATCTCTATCAGGAGCGTTCACCTCTGAGTTAAAGGTCCCATCGGTCTTTTCTTTCTTTGAAACAACTTAAAAACAAACAACCCCTCTGTTTCAGATGGTGAAACAGCATCTGGCAGAAAAAGTAGGTAGTGTGAGATTTACATTGGAGGAGCTCAGCTGCAGTGTCTGGTCAGCGTTACTCAGAATAATCCACAGACTTCACTGTCAATAGTTTTAGCATCTGTTTCTGCAGTAGAGAGTACAGTACTCAGTGAGCTCTGTAGATTATCCAGAGGAACCGGGGTATTGTTTTGGGAAATTACCTGCTTGTACCTGCACTCTCCTCAATGGGTGATGGCTTCAACAACACCTCAGTGAGAGCAATCTAACAGACATTGCTTTCACTTCGGCATCACTTCAGTGAAACCAATGTCCATTTATGTCAGAGGAAGCTGTCCTGAATAATGTCCCGTATCTGTGGCTGTTGTCTGCAGAGGCCTATAGTTTGCTGAGGGGCCTCTGACTGTTGCTTTGTTATTACCTTCAGGAAACCTCTCAGGCTTTGTCTCTTGAAGCACAGGCAGCATGATTTAACTTTAACAATGCACACTGTGTTATGCACCAACACATGGCCTACCTGACCTCAGACCTTTCCCTGCTTCCTTCCTGGTGTACACCCACACCCCACTGGTTAAGTCTTGACCCTTTAACTGGGACTTTAGCTCACTAACGGTAACCCTGATTTGTTCCCCGACTTAAGCTACTTTTACAAGCCTCTAATAAGTTACCAGGCTGTCCTGACCTCAGGTGTCCGGCCCAGGTATCGCCGTAAGAGGTCTGAGTGTAATTATGGTGAGAAAACAGGATTCTGCCAGCACCGATGATTATTAGACTTGTTTGTGTTCCCGTGTTTTGCCCAACTTCTATATTTGTACTTTTGGAACATCTAGTTTGTCTCGTCTAGTCTGTTTGTGTCATGTTGCCATAAGAACAAGGACTGGCTGTTTCTGATCTGTTTACCATATATGAGCTCCCTCCAAACACCTTTACAGTTCATCAGGGAAATAACAAGCCACAGGTTTGTTGGCATTTAGAGGATAGACTCCAGCCATTAAAGACACTCTGCATGTATTAGATGACATACCTGCAGGTGATGGCCGACACTGTGTATGTGATTCAGTTACGTCAGTTACACAGGAAATGTAGAGCAGCTGTCCAAGCCGCCACAGCAAATCCACGCCGACACACCCCTCTCCAGAATCAGCATTCAGAATATTAAAAAACACTAAACCATATATATTACAGGAACTGTGGCCCAGATTGTGGCTCTAAGCTGTCAAACACCTTTGTAAAACCAGTTATAATGTAGCTTTACTGTAACCTGTCTCTGAACTGTGCAGCTGTGTCAGTTAGCAATAAATAAATAAATATCAGATTAGCAATATCACAGGTAACAGTCACTCTGGCTCTGTGGGGCCCCGACTACCTGGGCCCCTGAATCTGTGCCCAGACAGTCAGTTCGGCCATTGTAATCAAATATTAAACACTTGATGTAACTGTTACCTACCTTTGGCTTTAATAACCTGCCAATTGTTGCACATTTTTCTTTCAAACACTTGTATTATGTATTTAAGCATCATGTGAAATTAAATCATGGTCTCTGGTGCACCATTCAGGGTTTTGTATAAATAATAAATGGTAGTAAATAGTATAAATGGTAAAATCAGTCC